CTCGTATGTCCACCTAAACCCTTACTAGTCAAATAACTAAACAACCGTACTGGCCAAAAAGTGTGTAAATAAATAAGTAAACAAAGAAACAAATCCTAGTGCTTGCCAGCATATGAAAATGTGAATGGGATTAAAACCGAACCAATCTCCCTCACCGCGACTCATCAATCAACTCTCAGCCGCTCCCCAAAACAAATAATAACAGTAGTAGTAACAAAGTCAAGGCCAATGACCTCTCACTGAAGAGAGGGAGCGAGGGTTAAGGTGACACAGAGACTACTACATCAAGATAGTAGGGGAAGCGAACGCGCTAAGGCGATTCGTGTGCCGTCTACATGGCACTCGGCATGAAGCTGCCATCCCTTGGAGGCAATCGTGCCAAGAAACTTCTTCTTCTCCTTCTTCTGATAACAACAGATGCATACGGTTCGATCCGTCACACGAAGAGCACTAAACACAGTCATATCCACACAAACAAGTGTCACCTGTGCACTCGCTGCTCCTTCCTCTACCAACAGCATCACGTAAGCTGACAAAGGAACTGACAAAATTGTCCGGCATACAGTCGTACCACGCCTAAATTACCAAACAAGTTACAAGAAGAGGAAGGATTGTTTGGAGGTAAGAAATTTATTTCAACAAAGACAGTTACGAAGGTTTTGACGCAACTTACCGCATCACAATCAATCAACATCTACTGTGCTTTATTCATCGGTAGCAGTAGCTCCAGCATAGTTTGAATTAAAGATCCCAACAACGCCAACAACAGCAACAACAAATCCCACTCGTAACCATTAAAGATACTACGCACATACGCGCCGCAACCAGTCACACAACCTTTCCCCATTCATTAGCTAGGACAACAATGCTGCAAGTACTGAGCAAACGCACACCGGTTATTCCTTTCACCAAATAAAAATGATCACAAGTGGCGTGGTGCATTACAAGAATCCATTAACTCAGACGATGTCACGAATGAATGCGAATGAGCACAAGAATCAGGACTGCCAACATTTACCAAGTACCTGTGCTGCGTGAGGGCACCTAGCCAACCAGCAGTGGCAGCGAAACATCGCCGGTGAGCATTTACGGAAGCAAACGAGTGGACGACGTAAGAAACGAGGAGGTAGGAAGTGGAGCCAGTGAAGGTACAGTTAGTCTCAGGTCGCCCGTGTACCAATCCCACACCATGAATCGCTAATATCGCCTGTATACACAAAAAACCACACCCAACAGCCAGAGGGCATAGATCACCAAAGTAAATAATCTTAAAACATGTAATATGTAATGCACTGTAGATGTACATACTTATATCACCGTGTACGCTTGATTTGGCAGACTCGAAGACAATACAGGCAGCATGCTACATTGCTTGCGCGCATTTGTCTCCCTTTCCTGTGATAGAATTCCGCACGCGACACCCGTACCAACGAATTCCAACCTAAAAAACATTCCCGTACCTGTGAAAACGGAATGAAATGGAGACAAAGGGCCCCAATCACGGTGAAGTTATGCGATAACCTTATGAGTCAAATCGGTGGATCAACACTTAATCTAATGTTAGCCCGAACTGCATGTTTGTGCTTGCTCAAATCGCGACTGTTGAAGTTGCAGAAGACGCCATTCAGCTCACCGACGGAGAAGAGTATATTCAAGTTCCCCCTTGGAACGATACTGAAGCTGTTTCCACGTCCGCAAATCACGCCACACACTACAAAAATGGATAGCATAAAAAATTATATAAAACGACTGTCACGAAATAGTTGGAAAAAGACACTGCAACAGTTAAGGCACAAAAGGTATAACAATAACTCACGAATTGAAACGCATTTTTACCTGGGAACAGAACAGGGTAACAACATAGCTCAATTTCAAACGCTGTGTTCTTCAGATATCAGTCGAAGCCTATTAGATACATCGCAAAAAAGAAATTAAATCCTACCTGCTTATGGTTTTGGATTGTCACTAGCACCAACTAAAGCCAAAAAACTTGAGAATCCTCCTTTCTTTTCACCAGCAAGGGCCTTTTTAACCAAGATTTCAGCGAAAATACAAAGACCAAAACGCATTAAAAGCTAAAAGCGAAATAATAAGAGGTAGCCAATCGGCTTAGAGGAAACGATATAAACAAAATAAAATGCTAAATGAATATGAGGAGAACGAGACAAAACTAAGTTGTAGTTTTATTAGTATAGAAATTATTTTATAATAAAACTAAAAAATGTTGTTTGGTAATTCTAAACAAAGAGGAACAAGTAGTTGACAATATATTTCGGAATATTTGTTTCAATGTACGTAAAGAGGGCTAATTATGCCGCCTTCAAATACCCTATTGTCAAATTTGGCAAAAAATGTCTGCTTATATTTAGCTCAGGTTGCCGAATATCAGATTACCCAAAAAAGGCAAAATTATAGGCATTTGTGGCAACCAAAGGAAAATAAACTAAATACAAGGTTTACTAAAACACATTTGAGTCAGTCAGAAGATCAGACAAATATAGTAGATACATTAATGATGATTAGAGGACATAAGAAGCCAAAATCTACAATATAAGTGCAAGAAGTAGGGGAGAATGTAAAACTGATCGCACCATGAATAAATAGGCGGACTCCGCAGGAGAAACCGAAACAAAAGGAAAATAAACTTGCTTATGTTGGTATACCTAAGCATTCCAAGAAAGGGTTAATTTACCCAAAGTGCTAGCAATATGTCCAGCATCGCGGCAAAAGAGAGGTCAGGATACCAAACAAAGGGCATAACTGGCCCCAACGCAGGAGAGTTCAAAGTCACAATACGTGATATTAGAATGCGAAGCAGGAAAGGAGTAGAGGGAAAGGTCAGGTAAACTAATAAAGGGCATCCCTTCTACTGTAAGTTGCCTTACAACCCAAAAGCCCATCAATTTAGTTTTCGGCGTTGTTAAACTTCGCTCACGTGCTCTCGGACTGTAGGAGCTTCTTCCTGCACATCTTTGTGATTGCGAATGCACAAGGTGTTGGTAAAAAAGAGCAACTTTGGAGCTGAGGAAGGAGGTTTGAATGTGGGGCCACTGAGGGAAACACGCCCTCTCCCCTCCCCTCCCTCAGCAGTGACAGGCAGGAATGCGACTGCGCATTTCTGCCCACAATTCTACTACCTACAGTTGGGAGAAGGATCACATCACACGCATCGTGTCACCACCAGTCGAATTTCGACCCATCTCCATGGAGAACGTCCCCACCACTAACAACATACTGCATAGTACACCAACGCAAGGTAGCAATCGCATGAGCTGGTGGACAGATACATGCCACTACATACACAACAATTAATTAGAAGTCCTGTCCCGCATGGGGCAAAGCAGTTGACTTCCACACTGTGACACTTAAAATGCCGATACTGGCAAGTGGAAGGAAGTGGTGGAAACGGACAGAGAGAGGAAGGCAGGCTTTTATATTGGCAAACAAGCAATGCTCCCCGCCCCCCCCCCTCTTCGGACACTGTAATGCTGCACCCACCATCTAACGCCTGCGGCAGCAAGCAGCATTGCTTGCTTCATTTCATGGCCGCCTCAATTAGCCAAAAAAGCAGACGGGAAATAATATCTGAGGGAAGAAGGAGAAGAAGAAGAGGAGGCACCACGATGAGACATTTGTGAGTACATTTTCACCGCATATCAGTTAGTTGTGGTGGCAATGCACAATACGCCTCCACTGCCGTGCGGCTGAGCAGGAAACTAGGTGATGACAAATGGCAACAACAGCGCTGAATTGCATCGACCGGATTACTAAACGCACTGACTCTACTGCTGCCCTCACAGTCCACCACCGTTCAGCTCTCATCACCTTGGCCTACTATGTTTGAACGCGATGATGATCGTCCTTTCCTTCTCTCCTTCTTTCTTTCTCTCTTTCCTTCGGAGTGGTCCAGACCACGGTAGCAGTGGTAGTCGGGGGTATGGTTACGCTTGCCGAACGACACGCCATGATCGTCGTTGCAGTGACAACGATGAGACAGCTTTGCCATAACGAGGGAACCACAACTCTCGCCACATCTGTGCCGATGTGATGACAGGTGGGTGCAGTTGAAGAACAGCTAATACGATACCTTGCGACGTCGGCAAAGTTACTTTATGGCCCGCTACCTACGGGATGCGCTGACCATGTTTCTTATTTTTACTACTTGCGCCTCACAGGCAACAAGTTCTGGCAGCAAATTCGTCTCAATGTAGTCCTCTCACGCGTACTTCTTAGAGTGCTGTATTTGAGGGTATTGTCGAAGTGTAAATGTGCGCGCCAAATGATCGGTGGAGGTGGAAATGAGCAGTAGGTCTGTCCTTTCATCCCTATGGCTACAAACACCCTCTATTTGTGCTTAATTTGGTGGCAGCAGCAGCCTGCTGCCTGGAGCCTTACGCAAAGAAGTGACTTCAAGAATGATGCCAGC